GAAGATGAACTACAAGAAACAGGCAGGTGCCAAATCAGGCAAGAAGTTGTATAGCGAGCTGGGGAATTTGAGAGTAACCACAAAACTCTGGGAAACCCATGAAAGGTTTATATCAGCAGTGATAAAATCAGATGAAAGCTTAGTAAAGATCATATTGGAGACAATATGGAGGGAAGATAGGAGGAACTCCAGATAGGAGGCACAGAAACCAAAACCAGTTTGGAGAGCTTGCTTCCAAACCCAGGACATCATGTAAATCGTTGTGATCATTCCTGACACAGGAACACAGGAGGAGAAGCGGACTGGATAGGAGAAAATGAGAAGTTTTCAACTTCATTATTTTCTCGTGAGTTGTCAGCATTCCTCTTTAACATGTTAAGAAGGAGAAGGGATAAATTGGGGATCTCATGATGCTTGTGTTCATTTTCTGACCCTGAACTGAACAAAGGCTTCCCAGGAACTGGGATTACTGTAAATATACAGCACTGGGAGAGATGGGAGGTCAGCTGAGCTTTAACTGCTAGGGGCAGTGGGAGTGGGAGCCACCCGTTTTCACACTTTCCCATAGTTTCTTAACCCTCATGGTTTCAAGAGTATGAAAGACGCTGCTTCACAGTCACGTGATGCTGATCTTTGAGAGGAAAATACTAATGCTCTGTTGGGAACAAATGCACTCACCAAGAACATGGTTTTTTTTGCCAAGTAGCATCTTCATGCCATGACAGATTAGTAAGTGGTGAGCAGGCGGGAAAAACAACTCACCCCCAGCCTCAGAATGGATTTCATACCTGCCTCACTGCAGACAAGAGACATTATAAATCTGATCAGAGTAGTTCAATCAACAGAGCAAACAGGTTCCTAGACTGGAGAAAAGGCTAGATGACTTTTGTCCTTGACCTAGAGAATTACCCAGGCAACCAGAACTTCAGCTTCTCTGTCTCCTAAATGAGCCTGGTTGAGTGATACGCTCTCTAAACTGGTGCATCTCAAATCAAGCTGAGTCTGATATAGTTTGGGATCCACTGCTCCAAATATAAAGATCGTAGGGAGCGCTGGTAAACAAATACATTTCATTTGGACCCCCTCCCCCTAAATGGGGTCTGAAAAACAGTGTGACTCAGGCAAAATGTACAACATCTCAGCAAATGAATGGTAGTAACTTTGTAAAACTATAATATGGCTATAATAAATAATACGCAATGACAAAAAAATCTTTGGTTATTTTACAGCATTGCTCAAATGTGGGAACAGCACTCATTAAAACACTTTCTTTTCACTCTTCTGTTGCAAGCAGGATTCTCTGGTGGCAAACATGAGAAAGCCAACATAATAATTTAAGGAGAAAGTAAAAATTACGGAAGGTCATGGGAGTGGCTCGTAGGAATGAAGGGTAAGATGATGAGGAAGCTGATAGCAACATGGAACATTTAACTCCGGGGACCTAGGTAGCAGGAACAAGCAGATATCTCTCCTGAGGGGCAGAAGAGAAGAATGAATTCCTTATCAAGTCAAGTAACAGCTTTTATAAATGATGTTCAGGAAAGAATAAGCCTGCTGGAAAAGAGTGATGTCGCAGAGTAGGAAAGCACGTTCTCTAGAACTCCCCACGCAGAGTCAATCAACAAGCATATGCTTTAGTTCTTTAGTTAGTGTTGATCCCCTAATGAATTACACTCATTTAAAACTGGAAACAGCCCAACAAATACTCTATATAAAGACCATGCCTTAAAGGAAGACAGCATGAGGAATAATAATAATAATTTTTTAAACCTGGCTGTATTCTCTTGACATCCATCCAAGTACTGCCAAAAAATAGGTGAAGTTGGACGATGGTAAACTTTCTAAGGCTGACAAGCCACAGGAGGTCATTGGGGCAAAATTTTTTAAAAAATTAAAAAATAAAAGAAGAAGAAGAAGAAAAAGGAAACTCACCTTCTAAGTGGAAAATTAAAACTTGATTTAGGTGGAGTTTATAATGAAACTGAAAATTAGTTCCTTTCAATGTGCGTCAAATTTTCTTAAGATAAATTCCCTAATTTATAGGACCATGGATAATATCCAGCCCAGCCAATGGAAAAATTATATTTAACTGCTATTTAGTTCAACCAAACTTTCAGTATTTGGATGATACTTCAGTGCTAATTGTCACAGAGTTAAACCCCTAAGTCTCGGTGATGTAATGATAGAGCTTACAGGAGTGATTGCGAGCAATGAAACGTGCTTTCTTAATACCACAGGAGAGTAGGGAGAGCAGTTTTCATTTTGGAATCTGGTGCTCAATCTTACACTTATTTTCTACGTAGCTTTAGGCAGGCATTTTAATCTTTTTAATCCTCAACCTCATCATACAAAAGGAGACTGGTAACTAATTACCAGCCCTGCCTATTTCACCAGATTGTAAAATGCATCAGGCAAAATGATTGGTGGTAAAATCACTTGGCAAATTCCATAGCCTCCTCTGTACATGCAGGTTAATTAAATTTATGTTGACATATTGTTTAACAATAAACTACAGGAAAAAGATGATAGTGCCTTGGCTTTCTTGACTAGAGGCATTAAAAGCAGTATTAATAGAATTCATATTCACCACAACCATTTGGAGCAATGTTTCGCAAACCAAAACAACTTTAAAGTTAACGTCAATGCGCCAAGTTTATACTGCCACCCTTAAAAAGAAGTAATTTATGTCTGTAATGCATGTATCTCCATAAACTGTTTCTTTTTTAAGACCATGTGAAACAGCACTAAAAAAAGCTGCAGTTGCCATACCACCTTTGACATGCCATAGCATGAGGATAATTAATATTGCATATAAATACAATCTCAAAATATTGGGTTGTGAGCTCACTGCTTAATTGCTCTGAAAATGATAGGGTATGTTTCCTTGAGGCTAAACCACTGAGAATTTTTTTTAATTGCCCTTTAATAGAAATCATACTGTATTTTTAGTCTAGAGAAAACAATCTGTGGGAACCACCTTCTCCCACCCATGCCTTGGCAGTGGGAACGAGTATCCCAGATCAAGACTATTTACTGATCCCCATGGCAACGAAGTGCTTTATCTTGCATAAATCCTCATATCATAAGGACCCAATGGTTCTCTTAACATGGCATCTCAACCCTAAAATAACAATCTTGATGTGAAATATAACTGTTTTAAACAGAGCAAGTTTTTATAAAATGTTGCTGTAATACTAGAAAGTCGTAAGTAGCCCCTTGCACCAGCTTTTCATTTGGGAATAAATCCTCTACCATTTCTGAGTAAAGACGCCGGAACTTTCAAAGGAGTTAAAAGTTGTGCCTTTTAATCTGTTCCTTGGCAGAGCACTAAATGGAGTATAGCAATGTTGGGGCCAGGGAATTGAATGATGTCCTACCTACATGTAGCAAAACTCCATGGAGATGCGGCCCAGGGTCACGGGTTTCCTAGGTGCAGGGTTCCTTACCCTCGCGTTCTCCAGGCTGGCAACAAGAAACGAAATCCCTAAAAGCTTCATCCACAGTGAGTCCTGATCACTTTACAGGGTGCTGGATGTGTTAGAGCACACTGGCTGAAATTTCAAACAACACAAGAAGATTGAGTTGTACCCAGAGCTTGCTCTAGGGTCCTCCGTGGGAAAATGAGGTATGAATACCAGCTAGTGGTATTTTATCTCATGGTCAGACCTGACACGTCTCAAGCCTACAGGATCACACATGCATTTTAACACGCTAAGTGTTCCACAGATCATACTTTCGTACGACTACATTATGAGTTTTGTTTGAGAGAGTGTAGCTGGTGGTACAGATGTTCCCTTTCCCTGTGACAGCTTCCCCTTCAATATTTCAAATGCATTAACACTCAGCAGGTGAAACTCAAATACTTTTTTTTATCCTTCAGAACCATTCTTTAAGATTGCAAATGATTTTTAAACCAAGGTCGAATAAGCTGCAACCAGATGTGTCATTCATTGATTTTTTTTTTTGGGGGGGAGAGATTTAACATTTCTAAGCATTGTAACATCCTCTTTGGGTTAACGAAAGCATTGGGAGTCAATGCTCTCTGTTCTCTCCTGAAGGCCTATTGTTCTTTCTCATTTTTCAAGTGTTTCATGAACAAATAAAAGAACTTGGCATTGTTGTTAAGAGAAGGGTTTCAATTCTCTGGACCCCCTGATTGTGCTCTGAATCATTTGCCTCTGCCTTTTGCATTCTAAAGGCAACTAGATGAAAAAGAGTGTTGTACATTTCAGCATAATCAGAACAATTCCCCAACAAGTGTAGTCTGCCCAGACTCCAGCTTGCCTCCCCAGGTTCTAAAATAATTGCCTTTTTTTTTTCCCAACTGAAATTGTCTAGTGAGAGTGCTGGTTGGGAAGAACTGGGTGAAGAAAGCCAATGACTTTAAATCTCATCAAAGTCAAGAATTTCATCTTATTCATATTCGTATTCCATGTGGTAACTGGCCCAATCAGTGCTTTACATAATTATAGGGAAAAAAAAACGAAAGGAAAGATTTCTGAATCATCAAAAGGTCTTTTTTGTAACATGAATAGGAGGAGGGTTTTTTTTTTATTATATTGATATGGAAATCCTAAAACAAAGCACAAAGTATAAGTTTGGGGAAAACTGCTTACGTAGGTAAGTGTCCATCTGTCTTTCTGTGTCTGTGATATGTGTGATATCTGAAGTACGACTGTAAAATAATGAGGCTTAAAAAACCACATATTTTGGACAATATATTGTGTTGCAGTGAAGTTCAATTAAATAAGGTATGCTAAAGTGCTCTGCCAACTCTTCAAGGGGTATCCAAATATAAATGTTGTAATTTTAGGCTGTTCAACAATAAATATTTATTCAGCAGTTCCTATGGTCTATACCAGTAAAATAATAACATTGGTAGAGACAAGGAAGAATAGAATGATTTTGCTCAAAGCTGCACAACTGCAGAAAAGGGAGAAAAATTAATATAAACATTGAAGGCAGACTGCAGAGGCAAAGCATATTAAATGATTTAATGATGAAGCATTCACACCTGTCCAATATACAATTTGGCTCTGGAATATATTGTTTCTTTTATCTGAAAGAGCCATCTGTACCATTATAATTTCAAATCATGACAGTTCAGAAGCTGTCATTAAGAATAAGAATAAACTGAAGAACTTTCTTCCTCCTCTGCAGACAACACTGCAACCTACGGATGCAGTGTGAATGTGGCAGCAGAAAAAGACGGAGAACAAGATGGATTCATGATACCTTCATACCTGGAGTCACTGCTGACTATGTTTGCACTTATTCTCAGCTGCCATCACTCAGTCTCACAGCTGGACAACACCTCTCATTCAAAATAACCCTTCAGTTCTTGATTACTTCGTATTAGGTCGCTGCCATTTCCAGCTGTCTCTCGATCAGAATACATGGCTTTAAGATTTGCCTCTTTATATCCCTGAGGTAAATGCACAAGCAGGGGGATGCTTTGAAACAGCTTATTACACTTCCCAGTGATATTTGACTCTGTTAACAAGTCAAAAACAAATCACAGTGACTAACGCTGTTATCAAAGAGCTGTAGTTTCTGTTTTCCTGTATTTGTGGATAAGAAATCTGTTGAGTTTTTGGTCCAGAGATTCTCTCCCTCTACTGTCCTTAAAATTTTACATGCAGGCTGAAAAGACTGAAGAAAAGCAGAGTGATTGATTGAACTTGATTAATTCAGAAAGCAGTCTCATTAAAGTACCCTGTAGATAGTTCTAAACTATCTTAAGTCAGACAAGCTCTCATTTGGAAAAATACACATCTTCATGTAATGTCTGTCCATTTTGCTAAACATTCACCTGTGCCTTTTTCCTGTGTTAATAGAATAGCTTAGACAACATAAACAGTAATTTATGGACTTAGATGGTTGTAATGAGGCTCCAGACATGGTTAGTTCCTAAGAAATGTTTAGTAACATGCAATTTTTTGCAAAGGCTCTTGATTTTTATTTGGAGTCAATGGCCCAGTGTGTTTTGAGAAATGTTTCCCTGTCTTTTCAGCCTCATCATCACCACTCAGTTCCCCCAAGTTAGTACCAGCCTTACTGGCCTTACTCAGTCTGGTTCCAACTAGCTTGACAGGACACCTGCTCATTCATCAGTGCCTTTAAGTCACCTTCTCCCCCCAAAATTACTCCCTGAGATCCAGCTAGGCTGTTGAGAGAGAATGGTTAGGCATTCATTCCAATGTTTTCTCTCCACTCCATTGTCCAACAATTCTCATCAAAGTACCTTAAAATTGCTTACCCTTTATTTTGATTCATTTCTTCCAGCTCTGTCTACTGTAACTCAATAGAACATATGTCAACATTCAATTTCTTGTAATAAGCTCTAATGGAAAAGAATCTGAAAAAATATATATATATATATATGTGTGTACGTATAACTGAATGTCTTTGCTATTCACCTGAAACTAACATTGTAAATCAACTACACATCAATGAAAAATAAAAAAACCCCAAAAACCCAACACTTCTTCATTGTACTTTATTTTAGCATTAACGTCTCTGCCTGTTCTGTAGAGATAAGCCCATGGACATAATCATGCTTAATGAGGCTGTCTATATAGGAAATTAGTATAGACTTTAAATGATACATTATTAAAATTAGTATGGCTTTTAAGCACTGATTTTTTAATACTCAGTATCTGGTGACAAATAATCTTTATAATAGCAAAACCTGAATGGATTAACGGATGTTGTCTTAATATTTCTTTAGGAAGTTATTTATTTCTTTAGAAATTCATTTATTTAGGAATAGAACACTGAATTACATAAACACTATATTACATATTTTGTTTTGCTTTGCTTTACTTTTAAAATTAGCTACAGAACTAAATTGTCTGATAATTAGAATGTCCCATGCCCACCCTGGAGGGAGGACCATGTGTGTCACATAAAGGCAAAGCATGCCACTGGACTCTGTGATGGGCTAGAGACTCGGAAGCCAGGAGGAATCTGAGACCAGTTTAGGCTTTCCATTCTTTTGTTCAGGGGCTTGTAAGTAGAAGCTTGAACAATTTCCTTACAAATAATAATAGTAATGAAATATTTCTTGCAGGTCCTGGGACAGGAGTTTGGAAAGAAGTGAAGACTAAGAGGGCCTATCATTTGCAAGTGGCACAGAACTGCACAGTCAAGCCCTGTGAAGGGACCAAAGAGACGGATTTACCCAAGATCGTCTCTCTGAGTACTGCCAGCTCAGAGCCAAATTTCTAATAATGACTCCAAACCAGCAGATCATGTAACCTGCAATACAAAGATACGTAACACAGATAATCAATTATGTTAGCCACAAGGACGGCAAGGGAAAGAGATACCCCTGTTATACAGAGCTCTTAGAATTATTTAAGAGACCTCCTGGATGCAATCTGTTCTATTAGGGACAAGGTCTCTGCTTTCCAGTGCCCTGAGCAGAATTTAAAGAGCAAGCAACCCTATTACCTTGGCAGATCAGTTTTCAAACTTTCCAAAGCCCCAGCACTTCATTCTGACCGGTGATAACACATGCTACACTTCTCCACCGTTTCCTTCTTCTCTGCTAACACGTGAAATTCAACAGTTAACTTAGAGTAAGACATTGCTTTAGGAGCAAAGAAGACATATAAGTATTATCTCCCAGAGTGTGCCAAATTCCAGTGAATCCACCAACCTGTCTGTGTCTGTAAACATTTGCTGCTATGACTGCTCTAGTATTCTATTACCATCAAATCTTTTATTTAATTTTTTTTTACTTTTAACTCCTTTATTGTGGTATGATCCCTGTACAGTAAACTACACATATTTCAGATGTACAATTTGATGAATTTTGTATTTTCATCAAATCTTATCAAGGAGGAAAATAAGATCTTATAAAAAGCAGCAACTTTAACAGTGCCCTAACTCTTCCATTTAATGTACCCAAAACCAAAATCCTGAGCCTGCCACTTGATACACTTTGGGTTTCCACTGTCCCCTTCAATCACCCCGAGAATCAGCCGAAGTGGACCTCTCACAATTAGCCAAACAGATTCTGTACCATGTTGCTTCCCGGCTTTCACCCCAGCACTTCTGTCCACCTGGGATTCCTGCCTTCTCACTTACCATTTATTCCCTCAGGAACTCAGGACACATGTACTTGGTACTTGATCTGTGCCAGGATTGGTGCTTGTCTCAATCCCATCCCTGCTTCAAGAGTCAAGAGTCCAATTCAAAGCCAGGCAATTAGTGCTTTTGCACAGAGATTGTTAAAACCTAGGAGTCCTCAAACTTGCCATAAATATGTCTGTTTTGTATCCTTCTCTCTTTTTTCTTTTATGGAAATGTTGAAACCTAAATGAAGTAGAGAAGATATTATAATGAGGTGTTTGTTCACAGCCTGAGAAGTGTTTTCCTGTTGATAACCTGCAACAACCATCATCTGGCTCATCTTGTGTTGTCTGTCCCTCTCTTGTTCCTCCGGAATATTTTAAGTGAATCAGTTCCATTTCAGTATCCCAAAATGAGTTACGCCTGTATGCCTCAAATTTCTTTTTTCTTCATTTTCCTAGCAAGAGACTCTACAAGAAGTTTAATATGATTTTGAAAAAGTTAGCCAATGGGAAAATGTTATTTGGAAGATATGTGTGTGTGTGTGTGTGTATTAACCTCTTATTCCACGAGTAACAACAAATTGAAAAAAAGAGAGAGAAATTTAAAACCTGAAAAGCTAGATTTCAAAGGCACTGGAACTTCCCAGGGGCATATCTCTCACCTCTCTCTACTATACAGAGTAGGATTTGTCCCCCTCTACGTCCCACCCCCACCACTTAAAATCTAGGTCACAGTTACGTGTCATTTAGTACCCTGACAGTTAACAAATGTAGCCGTTCATATTCTATTCAGGTTTATATTATTTAACATTAAAAAAAATGCTTCCTAAATCTCAAACCATATGCTAGATGGTAGCTTAGTAAGAAGTGCCACAATTATCCCAAATGAGAAGCTGCTCATGTAGGAACCTGTTCTCTCCTTCTCTCCTAGAGGTGCTGATGACTTTGACCTACCGCTGCTACCTCATCCTTGAAGATAAACAATCCAGTGTTAACAAGGTAAAGAAGAGTCCCAGGTAAAGTACAGCATGTACTTATTCATCCCCCTACAACATTATCTGCCGTTCAGCCATTCATTCCCCAACATTTTTTCAGGTCTCAGACATATCACTAAACTCTTTAGGGATGAAACCCCTGCTAAGGAACAAAAACCATGTCTGTTTTTGTAAAGCTCTGGACACCCACATCCTAACAGCTCTGTGTGGGAATCAGGTAAAAATTGGTTGTTCTCTAAACGTCTGGAGAGTAAAAATGCCAATCTGAATATGTATTTGCAAAAAGGCATAGTGGCAGGATGGTGGGGTGGGAAACGGGCCTGGCTGGAAGGCTCTCTATATGTGTATTTTTATCATCCATGTGTTGGATGAAGCGGAGAGCTGCCAGATAGCTCCTTTTCGACAGCTTGGAGTTACTGTTGGGAACAGATCCATGTATGGAAGCGAAAGCCGAAAGGCACAGATAAGCCGAGATCCAGCTATGCAAACCATGTTTAGAGACACTTAAAGGACAAGCATCCCAGGTCCTTTCCTTCTGGTAAACTTGGAGAAGCCATCACCCTGGGGTCTTTTTTCGCATCCAGCCCATGCGGATTCACCAGCCCGGCTCCACAGAGGTAGGTGCGGGGCTTTGGGGATGAAGCGTATCTAAAGGACCACTCGGGAACATTCCCTCCCAGGCTCTTCACAAGGGAAGCTGACAAATAATATTTTGAAAAAGAAGAAAGATTTGGTTTGGGGCTGGTGACTGAGAGGTATTTAACAGCCCTGACTACACAAGACAGGGCAGCTTGGTTACAGAGGGAACGTGGCTGCACAGATTTGCTGCCAAATACAATCCCTTTGTCCCGGGTCACTTACTGTTCAGGTTTTTGTGGCTGTGAATCTCCCTCAGTATTGCCAGCACCTTTGAAATGGGCCCCAGCTTCCCGTGGGCTCTGATACTGTGTATTTCAGGGGAGGGAGGGAGGATTTGCCCTTTTCCTTGCTTGTCCTGAAACCAGCATAAACTCACATGTATGGCTAGTTCCTCCTTAGATATAGGAAGAGCTGCCTGTAAAGGACGTTATTATTTTTGGCAGCTGAAGTCATTTTTGCAGTGTTTCTCAGCAGATCGGAGGTTGATTACATCCTGTTCAAAGATTCTTGGGCTGTTTTCACAAACGTGGGGTCTTGCGCAAGTTGAAACTGCTGAAACCAGCTGTTAGGCACTGGGTTTTTCTCCGTCCCTTTAGCATTTTTCCTTCTTTCTTTTTTGTTAATGACTGAAAAGCAAGGAGCTTGAGGGAAAAGCTATGTGATTGTAGCTTTGCCATCAGTGATGTTTGGGGAATGGTGGATTGTGGCAGAATCACAGAAGCTAGATGTCTCTGGGGTCCACAGTGAAAGTATGAACAGGAAGACAAGAACCATGTCAGAATCTTCTGTGACTCCAGTCTAGTTTCCAGAATACTGGCTAACCCAGCCGAAGCATAGCACTTACATGTTGAAACGCTACGCCAGCTAATTACCAAATTGTAATCATTAGATCACGAAAGCAGTTCTTTTAAAATTGTTAACCAAAAAAAAAAAAGTGTTAGCAAAATCTATGAACTTCTGCAAAACACGGAAGTCAAGGGAAAAAATTACAGGTCATATCTAGAAAATGTGTGTGTTTTCAAGACTGAATTAAAAGAACTTTTACACAAGATAATGGAATTTAAATTTAAAATTTCTCTTGTTGAGAATAATATATCCGTATTTCAAGTAAGCTTTGAACCAACTCTTCATTTAACTGTTTTTCACCTTAGGATAGAACATGAGTGGGGGAAAAAAAAAGAAAGAAAAGTTGAATGTGATTTTTTTCCTTCTCTGATGACAAAACATGACATGGGAAAAGATGAATAAACAAGTGTAAGAATATAAGGAAATAGTTTGTAATGCTGACCAAGGAGATGTTCTTTGGATAAATCAGACAGCCAGGAAAGGGACATAGGTGAGGTGACTAGTTATGTGGTTGCTTCTTTCAAGTTGTGAATGTACTATAATACCAAAAAAAAAAAGAAAGAGAGAGAGAGAGAGAAAAAACTTGGTTCTATTTCATAAGAATACATTATCATTATTAAAATAATCCTAATTCAAAAATATAATGTTTTTACTGAATTACCCCTTCTCATGTCTAGTCTATTTACACTGACAGTGTATTAAATTAACAACACATTCAAACTCACCCTTTCCACATTTCTAAAATAGGCTATTTTACTTTATTTAAAAATACGAATATTCTGTATCTGCAGGAGAGAGGAGGAGAGAGAGAGAGAGAATAAACTACGCCTTCTTTTTTTGAGCTAACCAAGCTAACTAAGCTGTCATAACTTTAGCTAAAGTGGAACAGGCCTACCAAAGGATGGTTTTAAAATACTTAAACACTACATACCAGCCAGCTTCCAAAAGGAACAGCACAGCAGGAGTTTTGGGCAATTTTCAATACATAAAAAGTTATTAGAAATCATGTCACTAGTATCAGTGATCAGATGCAATGCATATATGTGATCTATGTGATCAGATGCAATGCGAATATGAGATCTATGTGATCAGATGCAACAAGTATATGACATCATCTACTGTTTTCTCATTTGCTTTCTGCCAAGTACATTTCCAGTGTGTGCCCTTCGTGAGAAATGTCTGTTCCTTTTCCTGCTTTTCTTTGGCAAATAAATTCAAGAAGGGTAATATAAGTAATAAAGAATGACTTGCTGCTATTTTTATATATAATATGTCATCCATGAGGGGAAAATATGACAGTCAAGCTACTTGCCCTTTTGACTTATGACTTCTTAAGCATTCACTGATGACTGTGCATGTAGAAAATCTTGTGATTATATTTTGAGAAGAGAATTGGAAGTGTTGGCAGTTTTGGTGTGAAAAAAATGACTGAATTGCTTTCTGCTATAGTTAGCTGGTAGAGAAGCAAACTCATGGTGGCCGAGAATGATAGAAAAGTTGAACTTTGTTCTAGAGCATAGAGCGCAGATTTGAGGCTTCTGTTTACGTGACAGAAGGGCCAGACTAGTTGGCTCCTTGAGCTACAATGAGCAGGAGGAACAGATTTTTTAGGGGTTTTGATGGGGAACAAGACCCTTGAACGTTGGGGGAAAATTAGTGTAAAAGTAAGAGAGAGATTTACTTCTCTAGAGACGTGAAAATCTGTGGCCCACAGGAAAGGTCTTTACGTTTCAAGGAAATGATAATGATGGTTACTCTTAAAAAAAATTCCCCTGGGAGCTTCAGGTCAAATAAAATTTTCTGCTGTGATTAAAAACTGTGGACATTGAGTGGTCCCAGGCAAACTACTGAAGATTTCAAGAGCTCTGAAAATGACAGAAGGCGTGAGACTAGCAGACGGTACTGGGGAGGAGTCTGAAGGCCAGAGAGGCTGTAAATTCTCTCCAAGGTCAGTGAATGGAAAGCAAAGGACTCCAGATCACCTGGGTTTCTGATCAGAACTGATCTGTCCATGCTACACCTCTTTCAATTTCTTAAAGTTACGTGGTATTTTCAAGTGTCATGGCAAGATTCCAGAAGAAATTTCCATGCTGGAGAATTGCTAAAGTCATTTTAAGTTCTGTAAAGCCATGAAAGGGGAACAAATCCCCATGGCACTTAGTCTGCTGAGGACAAAATGGCCTTTCCTATTCCGCTGACCTTGTCCCATGAGTTGAGCCACGGTTCTCAACCCTAACGGCACATTTTAATCATTTAGGATGGGTGGTGTCCACTATACCCTTGATGAGCTAAATTTGCTCCTCGGGTCCAAGCAAAGGTAGTTTATTTTTTAAGTCTACCCTATGAAATTTTAATGTGCAGCCAGGATTGAGAACCACTTCCTTTTTACGATAAAAAAAAAAAATGATAACCAAATCCAATTTATTGCAATGGGGGCAGTTAACAGAACCACACTGAAGATAAAAAATGTGTTCTTTCCCAGAAAGGTGATTTCTTTGGAAGTTTTATTGCTGTAATCTTTGCTGACAGAGAGTTCCTATTTAAAGGTTTCAGAATACTTAAAAAAAAGTTTTCTCCATAATAAAATACTGATATAGATCTGTTCAGTATCTCTCATACTCCCTAGCCTGAAACCTATGTGAATACTAGCCACCATTATTGAAAGGTAAAACATATATATGTATATGTGACATGAATTCTTAACTACAGCTGCTAAGTGAAATTTTATATTGTCTTAGCAAATTATCAAACAGTTGTCTTGAAAGGGCATATTAATTCTGGATAGCAACAGTTTTATTAAGGATTAGGCCAATCATTGCCTTTTTTTGCTTTTTGCCTTTCTAAATGTCAAGAACTTTGGAAAGAGGGTGTGTGACTTTATGCAGGAGACATATTAATTTGTCATTTATCAAAGTACATGACTGAGAAACTAATGTTAGCCCCAAAACTAAGAGGCTAAGTCGGGACACAAAAGACTCCTTCCATTTAAGTGGAACATGAAGACTCAGAGCTCTGTAAAAAAGACCCTGGGCTGAACGCAGGTAGAGATATAATAAATAATTCCTTTAGATGTCAGCTCATGGTAAAAAAGACTATTCAAGAAAGCGGGCTGGAGCAGTGATTAGAATCATGACTGCTGAGATTGGTTGAAGTCAGACAGCCTGAGTTTCACTCTGGCTCTTCAATGTATTGATGGCTCTGTGACTTTGGACAAGTAACGTCATCTTTGTAAGCCTCTACTTCCTTCTCCGTAAATTGCAGACAGTGATAATCACGTTAAAGGAATTAAGTGGCAAAGTGCCAATAGTTTAGCATGATAACCTGTAAGTGGTGGTACCATCTTTGTAAGCAGTATGAAAATCAAATGGATTTTTCTTAAGAAACTGATTTTCCTGTCACTAGAAATATTAAACAGAAGAGTGATCACATCACAAGGAGAGCACAGATGAATTCTTAAATGCTTTTCAATTTAGTTTCCAAAATCAGCCCACCACTAATGTTGAACGTTTGGGAGATACTGATTAAATATTCTTTGGTTCATCATGAACGGTGAATTCCCCACTTCAGATCACACCATGGTGAGTCTGGAAACAATCATTTAAAATATCAAAATTAAATACATACAGATACATATTCGCTCATGAATAGAGACATACAAAAAGTATTTCAAAAATGAAGTCATATCTTAGTAGAAGAGAAAGGCACCAGTTAAATCATTTTTCTGAACAAGGTCTGTTTTAGGTAGAGATAGAAGAGTACATTGAATATTTACCCTATTCAGAGTAATGTATTATATTCCAGTTAATAATAACATACAATAGTCATTATAACTTGAGTTCTTCAGTCTGTCCAGGATCTTGCCCTCTGAGACATAAGATGCAATCACATATGAACTGACATGTACGCTATTATCATTATTCTATTATCAGTCACAAGCTACTGTTGAATTTCATTTAAAGAAATATAATTTTAACAAACTATTTCTAAGTCCTAACTAATTTTACCTCCGCTTTACCCATATGGATAAAAAATTATAAAATAAAATTTTTTTTTTTTTTTGCTTTAAACTCTGAGTTCTAGATTCAGGCAAATCCATCAAGTCCACTTTTTATTGTCATGCTGGGCAAGTTACTTAATAACTATCTTGACATGTGTTGAACTCTGCTATTTTCCAAGCACACTTCTAAGTAAGTCACATACATTAATTTAAAAATTCTAACACTTACCCTAAAGATAGGCAGTCATCTTGCAAATAAAGAGTGATGCACAGAAAAGTTAAGTAATATGCCCAAGGTCACACAGCAAATAAACAGAAGAGGCAGGATTTGAAGTCTGTTCTTATACCTGTGTGTTATACTGTTCCACAACTGTTTCTTGGCCTTTTAAAAACAGAAACAAATAAATTAATGTATGAAAAAATTTAAGTTCAAAAATATTCAATAGAGTGTCTAACAAGAAGTAACAGCAAACCATGTTATTCTTCTCAGATTATTGTTCATTTAACTTAATCTGTTTAATGAGTAAGCTACTCATTTGAAACAATGTGTCTGAATATTAACTGTATAAGAAAAGTACTGATTGCCCTTTATAGACTAACATTTAAAAACTGCCAGCTGGACATATTTCAGAAATAGAGGTTAAATTATTATTTTGTGACTGTATTCCATTCTCTTTTCCTCTCTAGCATATTACTAATGTTTTAATAAATGTGTGCTACAATTTTTACATTTCCCCCTTAACTTCACCATCATATAGCAAGGATGATTTGTATGAAAATGATAAAATGAGATAAAAATCATTTAAATGAAAATATTGTATTCAAGGACTCATTTCACAGACATATTAAATTGTATTTAAACTCCAATTCAAAATTTAAAATGAAGAATAAGAACTCTATTTGGCCTTCAATTTAACATTTTAAATTATGCTTATGAACATCGGACTTTCAGGAATTCAACATACAATTTTCACCAATGTTGTAGAGTTGTGTATTAGTTTTATGAAAATTATAATGAAACATACTTTAACTATGACTATGCAAACTATACAGAAGTTGGTCACTTATTTTTTTGCAAGAGAATGTAATGAAAGGTTACCTCTTTCCTCTCCACTTTGTATCATGAATATGTCCAGAAATTAGAGGTCAAATCCACCTTCTACTACTCTGTTTTCACTCTACTACACATTCAAGATCATTTATTATATTGTTTCCCTGGCAATGATTTTGCTATGATTAATTTAAATATTCCTTTGCCTTAAAAAGAAAAATATCTCCTGTGATTCAGGTGAGGGATAGGGAAGCAAATAAAAGATTAGAGGCAAACAAAAACTGGGGTTCCTGCAAGTCCCACGAATCTATAGACCCTAAGAGGTTACATTTTTTTGTTGATCAACAATCAACAACCATCAACCATATCAGCAAACAGCCATGGTAATTAACTTGAAGTACATAACTTCCTGAGCAATTCAAAGCATTGAAAAACTAAAACAAAAACACAGTATGCTGAAACCCAAAGCTTCATTATAAAGAAACAAAAATTTAATAACACTTATTAAATTAGCTTACGTTCAATATGTGTGCCCCAAAGCCACAGTTTAAGCCCATGATCTTTTGGGGAACACAGGCTAAATAAATAGAGAATACATGTCCCAAAGCTCATTTTTTTCCCCTCAACAATCCGTTTGGATCTAGCTAAACCAAAATGTGCCTAATTTACTAGATAATCTTATCTATTTTTCAAAGGAATATGTAATAAATACTCACCGAATAGTTTGAGAACCAGATCTTCCAAAGTTCACCAAGGTTGTGACCTTCCAAACCACATCTTCCAAAATGTGATCTGAGAAGGAATTATTCTTCAGTGTCTTTGGTGAAATAAAAGGACCCATTATCCAAAAACAGCATCTATGAAATATATAAAATGAATCTGTCTCAGATATGCAGAGGGCACACCAACATGTCACTAGCTCTGAGAAATTCTGGAGAAGGATAATCTGGGTCTGACCTTGGTGTTATGTTAAACAATGGTTTAGAGTCTAGATGACATGTCGCCCATTCACTGCCCTCCCTGACCTCCCAGCATCCATGGCAGGCATCAGTCGTGTCATCGTTACTGACTAGCCGAGATAAGTCTCAGAGTCATTCTCAGTAGACTGTCACAGGCAGCCACCACTAATTGACCAGAGTCAATACACAGGATGAAATGTCCTGGAAATAGTTAACTTGAAATTAGTCCTTTCTCTGGAAGAATTAATTTGACATGGCCTGTGGTTGTCACACAAAGGAGAAGCTATTTAATAGGTCTCTGTATGAAAATAATAGAAGGATGCTAGCTTACAGAATGCCTGTTCAAGTTCCATCTTTAACAGCTGCATCCATATACATGCAGAGCCATCTTAAAAGGAGAGAGAAGTCTTCTGCATATTGTTTTTGTGGTTTGGGGAGATGATAAATGCACAAATCAAGTGTTCTCTTTTGATTTAGATTCAGCCTGCCATAGAAGATATGTTTGTGGACTCAGGTGCCTGTATGCCTGTGGGCTTTTTGCTCCCAGAGCGCCTAGAATTGAGTGCTCTCCCTCACGTTTCACACGGATGTAATTATGTGACTCTGTCACTATCCTCCACACATTGGGTTCCCGGAGCTACATCCTATACCAGGAGACAGCACCAAAGAACTGAGTCTGGTGGGGCAGGGAATCACAGTAACAGGCTACCACAAGGCAGTTTCAGGAGAACTAGGAGAAAGAGTAATAGGCCAGCAGTGATGCGGATGGAGGCAGCGGCAGGTGCAGAATCCTGGAGGAAAGAGGAAAACACACCACATGTGGGATGGGAAACCAATGACAAATAGTCCGGCATTGCAAGAAGTGGTTTTGGGGATTGTTTTCATTTGTTTTTTACTCTTTATTGAAGTCTAATATACCTACAGAAACATGTGGCTGTGTCGTTCAATGAATTTTCATAAACATAATTCACCCACTTGTCCATGTACCTGGCACCTAGATGGAGACA